TTTTAACTAATTTCCAACCTATATACAATCAGTATGAAGTGGATATCTGCAACAAAAAAAAACTGGTTAATTTTTTTTGTTATTATTAAAAGTAAATAATTTACCATAAACCCCCCCCCCCCTCCACAAGTAACTGCACCACATGACTAAACCTCAGATTACATCTAAAATGCAAGGAATATTAAACTCACCTTATTTATTTACTATTTACTTATTTATTTATTATTTATTTACTATATTAATAATTTTAATATTTTTAATCTTAATTTTAATTTCAATTAATATAAATATTAAGCAATGACACTGAGTTTAAATGTTGATAGCAGATTTAAAAGCAAAACAAACAAAACAAGAAATGTGAAGAGCTTTTATGCAAAGAATTTTGTGTAAAAATTGATGCGCGCGGATATTAACTACGGCGAAAGCACAAAACAGCAACTACGTTAAAATGCAAACCAGCTGTAAACTAAGATTTGCGCTACGTTAAAGTTTGGTCTGATGGGTATATAAGAAGACGCATTTACTTAGAAGAATTAGTTAGTGATCCACACTTGGAGTCATCAGACTTAGTAATCGACACTTGAAGTCATCGGACTGTGTGATCGACATCCCAAGTGACCAGAAGCACACAGGAGGACTTCCAGCAAGCAACGTAATCAGCTAAGTATCAAAAATCGCGTATACAATATCTTTATTTTATTTTTATTTTTTTATATAAAATTATATATATTTCCTCATAAGCTTGAATACGTTTATGTCCTTAATCGCGTAGGCGTGAATACGTTTATGTTCCTTCTTTATAAGCGTGAATACGTTTATGTCCTTAATCGCATAAGCAAGAATACGTTTATGTTCCTTTTCTTATAAGCGTGTATACGTTCATAAGCAAATTCCATATATAAAATATAATACACTAGCTAAAAAATATCTTTATATTTTAACCATTGTTAGCTTTAAGAAACGTGGCCCCTCTGGATAGCTACAATCATCCGTGCGTGGTGAACTAATGTGTGCAGCGAAATCCACCTCAGGGATATATGAGCTTATGCGTCGGGCTTGGAACCCACCATTTAAAAAATTCTTTCAATGCAAACGAAGAGGCAGCCTCGGATAAGGAAACGATCTACTGATGACGACAAACGCAAACATATTAAGGAACACGATTTAAAAATATGCACCTGGAATGTCCGAACTCTTTACAAAGAAGGTGCATCTATACAGCTGGTTAATGTCCTCAAGGAATATAAGGCTGACATTACCGCTCTCCAGGAAATGCGATGGACGGGACAAGGATGCTCTAAACGAGAACATTGTGACATCTACTACAGCTGCTATGCAACAAAGCACGAGTTTGGAGTCGGATTTGCGATAAGCCGAAAACTGAGAAATTTGGTCTTAACGTTTACACCTATAAACGAAAGGCTCGCAAAAATCCGGATTAAGGCAAAATTTTTCTTCATCACTCTAATATGTGCGCATGCCCCGATGGAAGATAAAGATGACGACACCAAGGAAATTTTCTATAAACAGCTTGAACAAGCATATGAACGCTGTCCCCATCATGACATCAAAATCGTTGTTGGAGACTTCAACGCAAAGGTGGGTAAAGAAGGTATCTTTGGTGTTACTGTCGGAAAGTTCAGCCTTCACACGAAAACTTCTGATAATGGAAGAAGGCTGATTGATTTCGCCGCGGCTAGAAACATGGTGGTTAGTAGTACCAGATTCCAGCATCTCAACATATATAAGGCAAAATGGCTGTCACCTTATCAAAACACATGATCTTGATCACGTTATGATAGACGGAAGGCATGCTTCCAGTGTCTTGGATGTACGTACTACCCGAGGAGCCAACATCGACTCGGATCATTACCTTGTTGCAGCCAAGACCCGTACACGTTTATGTGCGATGAAAAAGGTACGTGAACAAGTACAGTGAAAGCTAGACGTCGAAAAGGTGCAATCACAACAGACAGCTAATGACTTCGCTACTCGACTCTCCCAATATCTGGAAAATTCATCTGAAGAAGTCGATATATGCGCGCAATGGAACCACATCTCCAACTCTATGCGTACCGCTGCAGAAGAGGTGATCGGCTATCACCGTATACAAAGAAACATCTGGTACGACCAAGAGTGTCGCAATGCTACCGCAGAGAAAGACGCAGCATATCAAGCCACCCTGCGGTCAGTTGCGACGCGCGCTGTTAAAGAGCGATATCGGCAAAAGAGAAGGGAAGAGAAACGTCTTTTCAGGCGAAAAAAGAAGGAAACAGAAAGACGTGAGTACGAAGAGCTTGAGAAGCTGGGCGACAGGAATATGGCTCGAAAATTCTATCAAAAAATTAAAAGCCTGACAAATGGTTATAAACCCGGAGCTAATTCCTGCAAAGATGAAAACGGTAATCTGGTGATAGATGTCCAAAGCATGCTTAATATTTGGAGGGATCACTTCTCGAAACTACTAAATGGCGGTAGTAGCAATATGACTGAAAGCGAAGATAATCCCGAATTTTCAATCGTTGACAATGAAATAATCGTCCCGCCTTCCGATCATAATGAAGTTAAAACAGCTATAACGCGGCTCAAAAACAACAAACCTGCAGGCGCTGATGGTTTACCGGCTGAGCTGTTTAAAGCTGGTGGCGAAGAGCTATCAAAATGCATGCTACAGCTAATTCGCAACATTTAGTCGGATGAATGCATGCCCAACAATTGGAATTTAAGTGTGCTTTGCCCAATCTACAAAAAAGGTGATCCTGCAAACTGCGCCAACTACCGCGGGATCAGTCTTTTAAATATCGCATATAAGGTTCTGTCAAATGTACTATGTGAAAGATTGAAGCCAATCGTCAACCAACTGATTGGACCTTATCAGTGTGGCTTCAGACCTGGCAAATCCACTCTAGACCAGATATTCACAGTGCGTCAAATCCTGGAGAAGACTCAAGAAAAACAAATCGACACACACCACCTATTTGTCGACTTCAAAGCTGCTTTTGACACTACGACTAGAAGCACACTCTATGCCGCTATGTCTGAATTTGGTATCCCAGCAAAACTTATACGGCTATGTAAAATGACGATGATACCTCTCCGAGCCGTTTGATACCAAACGAGGTGTTTATGTTTGCATTTAATATTATTTAATATTTTTGTTTTTTTTTTGTTGTTTGTTTACATGTGTTTACATATTATTTGGGCCAACACTGCGACCAGTCATTGACCAACGAAAAGTGCAATTTTGCATTATCAGCTTTGCTTGTTGGTCAATTCACTGAAGAAAGTGTGTAATATGTTGGCCTATAATTATGTCAGCACAGCGTAGGCAAATTTATTTATTTGTGAATTATGCATTAATATTTATTGTTAATTAATGCATAATTTAATAGCTTTTTTATAAAATAATTTTTGTATAAATATAAGAAATAATTTTTATAAAGTTCAGAAGGAAAAGAAAAATCAATTATAACTTTCTTACTTTCTCGCATCGATTAGTTTGGGTTTCAAGTGCTCAAACTAATCAACATAGAAAATACAAGTAGTTTGGGTTACAAGTGCTCAAACTACTTTACACATAAAAATTGGCTACCAAGCTAACACAGATTAAGGATCTGGGTTAGCACCAAGTAGCGTACATTTTTTGGTGACCCCGACGTGATTGTTGATAAAATATCAGCTTTCATTCTGTCAAAATACATATCGAAGGAATCAATTACCTACACAAAAGGTCTACTCATTAACCAGCTGAAGTATTTATTCATCGGAATTTTCGGACCGAAAATTCAAACATCGCCACGGATGCGTTATTAAAGAAGCAGTCAGAGCTCGGTACAGAGATTGAGCGACTGATAACGAATTTTAAAAAGGATTCTAGTACCCGCAAGCAGGATACTACATATTATGAAGAACGACTCAAGAAGCTACATTCCCTATGGAATGATTTTGAAATAAATGATGCTGAAATCAAAGCATTGCCACAACCTGAACTCGAACACGAGTATTTCAGTACAGGTTACTTTGAAAAAATCTCCAATCTAGTAACCAAATATGATGAAAGATTCAAGTTGGAGAAATCAAGGCTACTCCTGAAACCACAGGACGGGAAGCCAGTAGTAAGCCCAAGAGGGTCAAACAAAGCTACATCGCTCATGCGAAACATCAAAAGGCAATCCTCATTAATGCATGCATTACGCGCAAGTATAGATGAAATTTATGAGGAAATTACCATAAAACATCATCCTAGTTATTATGATCTGAAATATTCTCTGATAGAAAAATATCAGAAGGATCTGAGGGATAACAATGATGAAATATGGTCATCAGCCGACGCAGAAGACATCGTCGGATACACTTGGGATCAATACTATGCAACGGATAAAGATGCCCAAAACGCGTTGATATATTAAAAACAACACAGTCAACCAACTGAAGGATTGACGTCAGAGGGGCCTGCAGCAACTCAACAAATCAGACTTCCAAAAATAGTTTTACCAACATTTGATGGAGACTATTTGAAATGGATTGAATTTAGAGATTTGTTTCAACAATTGATCCATGATCAATCAATAAGCGCAGCCCACAAAATGTTCCATCTATCTACAAATTTGGCGGGTGAGCCAAAAGCCCTCATACGGCATCTGCCAATTTCTGAGCAAAATTACAATATAGCTTGGGATATTCTGTCAAATCGGTATGACAACAAACGACTCTTGGTGACAGCATTACTAAATAAATTGTTATCACAACCAAATATAACAATTGAATCATCAAGCAGTCTTAAGGGCATACATGATGTTACAAAAGAATGTTATTATGGATTAGCAGCTCAAGGTATTGATGTTAAATCTTGGGACGCCATAATGGTTCACGTAATTATTAGAAAGCTAGACAAAGCTTCACATACAGCATTCGAGTAATCGTTGGAAGACAGCCGAAGAATAATTTCATTAAAAGAATTATTGCGGTTCCTAGAAGGAAGATTTCAGGCATTCGAATCAATGACGAATGGGAACCACAAACAAAGTCACAAACCACGACATCCAGCAGTAGCACTTGCAGCTACAGACTCAGGATCAAAATGTATTACTTGCAATAGAAGTCATCAATTATTTTCATGTGAAACTTTCAAACGTAAATCCATACAACAGAAGTACGATTTACTAAAACGTCATAAATTGTGCACAAACTGCATGAAACCTGGTCATATGGCATTACAATGCTCCAGCAGGGGTTGTACTATATGCCAAAGAAGACATAATACACTGTTGCATCAAAATAGACACCCAGTTCAATCATCAAATCATACGTCAGTTGAAAACACTTCAAGGCCACTTGCACAAACAACTCTAATGTCATCCATCAATCATGGTCATACCAGTTGCGTTCTTTTAGGAACAGCAAAACTTTTAGCCTCCAACTCTAATGGAAGAACAGTCGAGTGCAGAGCAGTACTGGATTCAGGTTCACAAATAAATATTGTGACTGAACGATTGGCATCCAGATTGGGGCTGCAAGTAAGCTCTAGTTCGATTTGCATCGAAGGCATAGGGATAGGTAAATTGAGTTCTAAAAGTCGTACAACACTTTCTGTGCAATCAAAAGTGACCGATTACAAAACAATACTTGAAGCATTTGTGTTGCCAAAAATTGTGTCCAATCAACCATTGCAACACTTACAAATTTCAAATTGGAATCTGCCCAATAACATCCAATTAGCAGATCCTACATTCTATAAGTCTGACAAAATTGATATGTTGCTTGGAGCAGAATTTTATCATCAACTCCTAAGTCCTGGTCAAATACAACTTTCAAGGGAATTACCAATTCTACAGAACACTGTGCTCGGATGGATCGTATCTGGAAAAGTCGAAAATGCTAACACAATGATTGCAACATGTGGAATAGCATCAGAAGATAGTTTAGAAAATGCAATAGAACAACTCTGGAAGGTTGAAGAAGTTGATACTCACTCAAAGGTCTTGTCAATAGCAGAGCAACAATGTGAAGCTCAATTCACTCAAACTACATATCAGAATGTTACAGGACGATTCATCGTACGTCTTCCTTTTATAAATGACAGATTCGCTTTGGGAGATTCGAAAGACATTGCTACAAATAGATTTCTAGCACTAGAGCGTAGACTTTCAAAGGATAGTCATCTCAAACGACAATATGTAGAGTTTTTAGATGAATATGAAAAATTGGGACATATGACCGAAATAGATATTGAAAGGATTATGTCACCACATTACTTTATACCACACCATTGTGTGCTTAAACCCGACAGTACCACCACTAAGTTACGTGTGGTATTTGATGCATCATCCAAAACAACATCAGGGCAATCTCTCAATGATTTACTACACACCGGACCAACTGTTCAAAGTGAATTACTGTCTATTTTATTACGATTCCGTCTTCCTCGTTATGTGTTTACAACAGACATTGAAAAGATGTACCAACAAATACTTGTACATCCAGAAGACAGACAATGTCAGCTTATAGTTTGGAGAAATGAACCAAGTCAACCTATAAGGTACTTTGAACTCAACACAGTAACATATGGTACTAGATCAGCACCGTATCTAGCAACCAAATGTTTGCAAGTTTTAGCTGATGACAATATGCAAAATTATCCATTAGGTGCATCTGCTCTCAAACAAAACTTCTATGTAGATGACTGTTTACACGGGGCAGATAGTCTGAGAACATTGTTGGAAACTCAGAGTCCATTAAACAAAATACTGACAGCAAGCGGTTTTAAATTGCGAAAATGGTGCGCAAATCATCCAAGTTTGCTACAAGGAATTCCACACGATGACCTAGAAGTCAATTTAGATTTAGAAAATCTTCAATACAACACCAAATGATGTAAAAACACAACTCAAAGAACTCACAGAATTGCAAGACCGGCTAACTAAGGAAAAATTGACATATCTTCCCTCTAGAGTGCGATTAAACAGTATTCATCATCATACGATAAGTTATTTGGCGTTGTTAATTTCTATAACAATAATAATATCATTACTTGGAAAACCAAACATAACAGATGTCAGAAACACACAATAAGCGAAATTTCAACACGAGGAAATGATATGCAGAATGCAGAATTACGTCAACAAAATTTGGACTTCACTGTGACCACAACCTAGGACAAGTTGAGTTGGCACTCAACGGCGGGGAGAATGTTTATGTTTGCATTTAATATTATTTAATATTTTTGTTTTTTTTTTGTTATTTGTTTACATGTGTTTACATATTATTTGGGCCAACACTGCGACCAGTCATTGACCAACGAAAAGTGGAATTTTGCATTATCAGCTTTGCTTGTTGGTCAATTCACTGAAGAAAGTGTGTAATATGTTGGCCTATAATTATGTCAGCACAGCGTAGGCAAATTTATTTATTTGTGAATTATGCATTAATATTTATTGTTAATTAATGCATAATTTAATAGCTTTTTTATAAAATAATTTTTGTATAAATATAAGAAATAATTTTTATAAAGTTCAGAAGGAAAAGAAAAATCAATTATAACTTTCTTACTTTCTCGCATCGATTAGTTTGGGTTTCAAGTGCTCAAACTAATCAACATAGAAAATACAAGTAGTTTGGGTTACAAGTGCTCAAACTACTTTACACATAAAAATTGGCTACCAAGCTAACACAGATTAAGGATCTGGGTTAGCACCAAGTAGCGTACACGAGGTTTCAGACAGGGTGACTCCTTGTCGTGTGACTATTTTAACCTAATGTTGGAAACGATAATTCGAGCAGCAGATTTAAACCGTACTGGCACAATATTCTACAAAAGTGTAATGCTGCTAGCGTATGCCGACGATATTGATATCATTGGTCTGAACACTCGCGTCGTCAGTGCGGCATTTTCCAACTTAGAAAAACAAGCAAAGCAAATGGGTCTTGTGGTAAATGAGGACAAAACAAAGTACTTTCTGTCAACAAAAAAAAACTCCTGAGCGTCTTGGGACCTACGTTACTGTTGACAATTATAAGTTCGAAGTTGTGAAAGACTTTGTTTATTTAGGAACCAGTTTAAACACCAAAAATGACGTCAGCCTAAAGATTCAACGAATAATTACTCTTGCCAACAAATGTTACTTCGGGCTAAGTAAGCAATTGAGAAATAAAGCCCTCTCTCGACAAACAAAAATCACGCTCTACAAATCCCTTATCATGCCTGTCCTTGGACAATTACCAACAGTGATGAGAAGGCGTTAGGAGCATTCGAGAGAAAAATTCTTCGGAAGATCTATGGTCCCTTACGCGTTGGCGACGAGTATCGAATTAGATGGAACGATGAGCTGTATGAGCTATACCGCGACATTGACATATTTAAGCGCATAAAAATTCAGCGGCTACGCTGGCTTGGTCCTGTCGTGCAAATGGAAGAAAGTGCTCTGGCTAGAAAGGTATTTGATTCGGTACCCGCAGGTGGAAAACGCGGTAGAGGACGTCCGCATCTTCGGTGGAAGGACCAGGTGACCAACGATTTGGGGGCGCTCGGTACTACCAACTGGCGTCAGAAAGCAACTAATCGGGCTGACTGGCGGAGCCTACTCGACGCGGCCAAGGACGACACACGTCTGTAATGGCCAACTAAGTAAGTAAATAAGCTTTAAGAAACAAAATCGAATAAACATTCTTTTGAAATTTAATAACTAAGACACTGTATCCTCATTTTATATAAATTTATTGCAACGACCCAGGACCAACCACTGAGTTCACCCCAGCAAGTGGACAAACAAAACTGGTCGTTACATGTTGTGGCATAAAATTTTGCATGTTAAATTTTATGTTACAGCGTTTATTCAAATTGAGATTATATTTACGTTAAATAAGAAATGTGGAAGTGTATGCACTACATTATATATATTTAAGGTATATTAGTTAGGGGTAAGACTATGGTATGTCACTTGTTAATAAACACATAAACATATATCCAAATCAGAAAACCAAAAATGACATACATTGTTGTCTCTTTCAGTGTTTGACATTTTTAACATTTTAGTCAAAAGCAAAAACATAAATTCAAGAAACAATAAAATTTGAAATTAAAATCAAAAACAATAAAGGATAAATTATAAATTATAAATTATAAATTAAAAATTATAAATTATAAATTATAAATTATAAATTATAAATTATA